GAGCCTCGAATTTGGGTGTCTTGGAACTGTTATATGCCCAAAAGACATAAGCAAGACCGGATAATCTACTTGGAAAGGATTTAAGCGACTTTTAAATTAAAGTAGTTTGTATGGTACCCATAAGGTACTATACCTTTGTCCACATGGACCAATAAAAAGATAGCAATTGAATTATTTAAATCTAAATTAAAATTGATAAAGTGATGTGATCCAATCAAATGAATGCTAGGTACGGTACCCCTATTTTTAGAAAGGTACCGGAGTTGTCACCTTAAATTAATACTCCATAAATAATACTTTTGTCGTACCACTTTAATTATCTCACTTTTCTTTTTGTGTGTATCAAATTAATTGTCTCAATTTTCTTTCTGGAAAGAAACTCATTGGAAAAACAACTATATTACTACTACAATATAATATCGCTACAGTACCAAAAACCTCTTACTTTTTATAAAGTCTACAATAATTATTTTAAAAATAAATGAGGCAACTAAAGTGATACAAAGGGAGTATTAATTACAGAGTATTTCTTAATATTTATACGTATTACGTAGTATATACTTGCTATCTAGTGTATCTACATTAGTCATTTTAGATTTAGTTGTTTATTACGGAGTGTTTCTTAATTACTTTGACCACAATAAGTTTAGAGCTATTAGTTAAATGACTTAAACCTCAGCTTATTTTGAGTAGGGGTGGGAAAAACCGAACCGAAACCCGGAAACCGACCCTGGACCGACCTGAATTATGATCCCGGTCCGGGTTTTTTCTTTTTAACCGGCCCGAATTTAAAAAAACCCGGACCGAACCGAAAATTTCGGGCTCATTAACGGGCCTTAAAATCTACAACCCAGCCCGGACCGAAAAAACCCGAAACAATTACTTTTAATATAAAATTAATATAGTATATGAATATAAATATAATATTTCCTAATATATGATTATAATCACGGTGGATAAAAAAAGATTTAGTAACTTTTAGTGACTACAAATATGTTGAATTTGTTTAGCGTAATAATGACCATGAGAATATATTTATAGCAACTCTAGTAACTTTTTTATTTATAAAATTTATTTCGTAATATTTTTAAGAAACCTATATTATTTATATATATATATACATCTTACATAAAATATTAAGATAATTATCTTCTTTAAATTTGAATTGTTGGTGATTTTGGAGACTAAAATTTGTGTTATTATTTGCGGTTTGTATTTTTGATTAATTTTATTTGAAAATACGTGTTAAAATATAAAACAATGACATATTTCACGGCCGGGCTTTAACCGGTCCAACCCGAACCCGGACCGAACCCAAGCTACCAAAAACCCGACTCGGACCGAATATAATGGGCTTTGTTCCGGTCCCTAATTTTCATAACCCGAGACCTTCCGGGTAATTTCCGGGTTTAGCAAAAACCCGACCCAGACCGGACCGATCCCACCCCTAATTTTGAGACTTCCCTCATTTCGTTTGAACAATTATATGATTCTACTGGCTAATTGCTTCCAATGAAATGTTTATCAAAAGTTTTCTGGGAAAAAAAAATTAGGAAGCTCAGTCGATCATATATGTAGGTGTTCCAATAAATGGAGATGTTGCCACTCGCCCTCTCTATAGATACAATGCATGATTGACTATTTGACCATAAAAAGTCGTGGCCAAGCCTATTAATTAATTAATTAATTAATCAATTAACCCAAATGCACGTAACTTATAGTCCTAAGTTACAAATGACAACAAATCAGTAGCATAATAATACAATCACACTCGTGTAGAGCTTTACCTAAACGGCAAAAGTTTAGTCGGGAAGGATACAAATATTGCCATAACGGTTGCTTGAGTGCAAGAGATGGAGATTTCTATTATAATCATTTCACCAACTATAAACGACTTTTTTTTACAAACGACTTACCCTCTACTGGGTAGGTGGTTAATTAGCTACCATAACCAATCCCTCCTTAGTCGTTATTACGGAGGATCCAAGAAACCAATTTCAGTAGGATGGCTTCACATTTCATAGAGGTGGAATCCCCCTCTCTCTAGACACTCTTACACCGCCCTGACAGAATGCAAAAGTAAATCATCGTATAATTTCAAATATACAAATTTTTGAGTGAGATGGTTCGAGTGTAGTGCCCACAAAGAGCCGCCACGTTGGATGAGCTCTCACACTGTCGAGACTTGAACTCGATCTCAACTCAAGTGTCTTACTCAATCATCACTCAACCACCGTTGAGCTACCTGACGGGTGGGCGGTGGCTCCACATTTCATGATTTAATGGACCATTGGTTTAGTCAAAATTGACTCCAAAGATTTTTCGTAATGTTTTTTACACAATTAATAACACAAAAAGGTAAACATTTTTTAATTTTGGAGTGGAACAGAGACTAATAAGGCCCCATTAGCTACGCCTTGCAACCAGTCAACCCATCATCGGAGATTGAAGTCTTCGACATAATACGCACGAGCCTCTCTCTCGATTAGGCTCGGAATCGAAACCTTTGGAATTGATCTTGGTTCTGCTTCTTTTTTAAAAGCAGAAATAGAATCAAGAAAAGGCGTGGTTTTTGTGTGTTGGGATTAATGTGCAAAATAGTCTAGGTAAAGGTGCAATTCAATGGTCAGTGTGGATGTTATATATGGGAGTTAAATTGCAGACTAAGAAAGGTAGGGTGCAGTTCAAGAAAAGGCGTGGTTTATGTGATTGAGTTTTGTGCATGTGATGAATGTTAATTGGTTTGTGATTGCGTTAATGTGCATATGAATCTTCGTTTTTTTGCGATGGAGCTTGTATGCAAAGTGGTTAGGTATAGGTGCAAAAAAGTATTAGGTTTTATTTAAGTGCACTATGTTTAAGTGAAACATGAATAAACAGGGATACTAATTTTGTGTTTTTTATATCTAAGTGAGTGAATATGCAGAATAAGAGTACTAGAGTGCGATTTATTGTAACAGTGTGGTGCATGACGTGCACTTCGTCGTAGTGCGTCAAAATAAATTCGATACTAGCACATTATACGCAGTATAGGTGAAGTAGAGTTCGTATCCAAAGGGAAAGGAATAATTCCTTTTTAGTAAAACTAGTAAATAAAGGGGGGTTTTGGGATTGAGTGATTTAATTTAATTAAACACGAAGATGAACGACTTATATGAGATTTAATTCAAGAATAAAAAGGACTTAGCCTTGCTACTTTCTACTTGTTGATATATTTTAGTCGATCATTGTTATATCTATAACTTATCCCCTCTCGAATACTCAATCGATGAGTATATCCAAATCATCGAAGGTAGTTATTAACAACGACCGTTCATTAACAACCCTTACTATTAATCAAATATAGAACAACGTCGTATACCGATGTAATAGTAGCATTTAATCTTTTTAACTCCTTGATGAAATCAATTGAGATTGATAACCTTAACACAACGATTTCGGTTTAACCAACAAAATTAATCCCTCTTAAGTTTATTAACCACAACCGTGCATTAATAAACCGAAGCTACTTACTTATGAAACCATCAACGATTAACCATCGGTTCGTTGATCGTTTCCAGTAATAATTAATGTCGGAACGTTAACTAATCGTCACTTAGCAACCCTCCAACATTAATATAGAATGAGATTAAGGGAAGAATTAATAATCAAGAGAAGAAGTTAAGAAAATAACTCATTTGGAGAGCTCCTCACAACTTTAATAATCAACAAGCCTCAAGAGCAAAACCAAGAAATGGAAGTTTAGCTTCTCATTTGGAGACTAAACATGCTAGAAAATATAAAGAGTATATGTGAATTGGTACCTAATTGTGAAGGAAAGGAGGTGTATTTATAGGCTTTTGGGAATGCAGCGTGGGTACCCGATCGGGTATATACACGGTACCCGACCGGGTATGTGTAAAAACTCAGATTCAAAGTATACTTGATCGATTTCAGGGTTAAAATTAAAGGTATACCCGATCGGGTGTGTCGGTGTACCCGATCGGGTATAACAACTGATCGTGGCCAAATCTTCCCTTGCACGTCCCTTTGTTTTCTGAAGTGATCTGATTGAAAATCAAGTAGGTACCCGATCGGTTATAGGGTATACCCGACCGGGTACAGGTCAAAATCAGGAACTTTCCTTCTTTGTCTTGTATTCTTGCACCTTCCTTCCTCTTTTGGTCTCACCAATGATCATTTGATTGATCATGGACCTGTTTTAGCTCAAAATAAACCTAATCTAAACATATTACAACTATTTTACAAACATAACCATTACACCAAAAGTGTGTAGTTTCCAAAGTATTAAACAACTAAAACTAACTAAAAACATAAACATACAAACAGAAATTACAAGCGTATCAGTGCATGTGAGAAATAAAAAAATGATATTATGTAATGAAAAAGGAATGATAGTACGAACAAAATTGTACTAGGTGAGTGAATATGCATTGAAGTGAATAAGGAATGATAGTATGTGATTGTGTTGTGATTAATACCAATTAGTGGTGGCTAATGTACAAGTACAAGGTGCATATCAGTATACTTACATATGCATTTAAATTATGTGTACAATGCATTAAAGAATTGAACTTCAAAACATGTAGGTGTGCAGATCTATAATTTAAATAATTACTAATGCACCAATTGTAAATCTAAGGCACACTTCAAAATATGCACGTGTGCCAATTAAGTTAACATTACATAGTCAATAAATGTCATGAATTTTTTTTGGAAATAAATGGTGAGATGTGTGAATGTGTACGTTTAGTGTTACCCAAATAATTGTATGTGTATTTACTGATAAAAAAGTATGAGAATGCACCAAAGTATGGAGAAAGAAATTAAACGTAATAGAATTAGTCGTGGCTAATGTACAACTACAGGGTGCACATCAATGTATTCAAATATGCACATAAATGATGTGTACAATGCAGTAGAGATATGAATGAGATGCATATTATAAAAAATAAACAATATTCATTAACAAAATTGGTTAACAGTGTACATCCACTGCGGTAAAAACAAAGAAAATACATTAATGACTAAAAGACGTGATCTTAAACAATCCTTTGTATTCAAGGGACAATTCCAGCTATCACGATGGCTCATCTCAACGCACGAACGACGAAGTCTTTTGGGACGTTTTGATTCTTGAATAGAAACCTCTTTGGAAGACTTGATCCTAGGTCTTGAACCTTTATTCCTGGGTTGTTCTGGAGGATGAACTGTGATGACAGAAGGCGCAGCAAAACCACCAAAGGACTCAATTACTGATTGCTTCGTTGATGAATAAAATATGTCTACATAAAACCATTGAAACGTATGAACTTTGCCCGATAGAAAAATAAGAACTAAAATTAAACGAAGTAAACGAAGAACTTAAACAGAAAAAGAATTATGCAGGTGAAGAAGGTGACAATAGCAACTGTTAATTGTACGCTTTAATCAAAATTTAAAAACAGGACCGCACAATTATACACAAAAATTTGCAACTCTGCAAATTAGTTTGTATTGAAATAGAGTTAAAATGAATATACATTTTTTTTGTATTCAAACGATGTTTTAGGAGATTTTTTGTATTAAAATGAATATACAGATCTCTTTGTATTCAAACAAAGTTGATAGGCATACCTGATTCGGATTCCATGGCTTTGACGACAACGTGATTAACCTACCTTTGAACATAACAAGAATGTAGAGAAGAAAAATGAAAAAGAAGGGATAGTCTCGCACGACAAATTCTTGATCGCAGCCTCGCATGTATGGAAACAAAGCTATTTACGGAAAGAGCGCCATTAAACTGTACGTGATTCTCTTTCCATGGTTAGAGGTGAATGAAATGGCCAATACACCCTTAAGTCAGCTACGGTCTTGGGCTTAAAATTAAAACAGCCGCACAGAAGTAATGCTTAGATCGAGGGCTAGGATCATTTTGTATTTTGTAAATTAAGTTAAGTTTGTATTTGATCCCAACTCTCTCTCTCTCTCTCTCTCTCTCTCTCTCTCTCTCTCTCTCTCTCTTTATATATATATATATATATATATATATATATATATATATATATATATATATATATATATATAAAATAGAGATCAAATACAAACCATGTTTAATTTACAAAGTACAAACTTATCTTGGCCATCCGATGAGTTGATCTAAAGGATATAAAGGCATGGTGACATTTTTGTAATAAAACCTAACTTTTCTAGGGTGCAACTCGTTGAACGTTAATGTGCAACGCCTATTTTATGACTATATAATATGCAACACTTTGAACCTCAATATGCAATGCAAATAACATCAAGGTGCATCGTACAAACATTTGCACAATAAGCATAGTTTGTACTTGATCTTTCCCCTATATAAGATGAACTTTTTAAGAGCATACAACGTGCCACATAACTCTGTCATGTCATCATATATAACAATTATTTATTTATTTATTTTATATACCTTTTATTTTATTATTACCTTCTGTTTTTATTACATGTCAATATAGAAATCCACCTTATTTGATAACTTTGGCATTATCAAAATCGTGTACCATATATGTAGGCTATATTTTAAATTTCTAATTTCAGAATTTAGAAACACCAAACCTATGTAAAGAATTTACATATTGATGATTGTAGCTACATTACATCAGAGAATCCAAGTTTAATGGATAGATCCTGGCTATTTTATGATTGTAGGCTATGTTTCTATATTTTATGTTTCTATAAAGTTTAAATTCAGAACATCACACAATGATGATCGTAGGCTATATTTTATGTTTCTATTAAAAAAGCACTTACTATTATAAAAGGAAGAGAATGTAAACTAAAGTATGCTTTCACAGTTTCACTTTTCAATTTTATAAATTTAAATTTTGATCCCATTTCTCCTAGGGGTGGGCGCGGTTCGGTTCGGTCCAATATTTTACCGAACCCGTACCCGGACCGTTACTATTGAACCGGTCCGGTTCGGTTCGATCTTAGACCTAAACCCGTTGTGTACGGTTCCATTTTCAAACGGGACGGTACCATGCCGTACCAATACCAAACAATGCCACTTTTTTTGGCAAATTAAAACTTAGTCATCATCCAAAAAATCCACACAATTATCAATTTCCATATTACATAATTAATAAATTTCATATACACTATAATAGTACAAAACATAGGTTTGTACGTTTACGACCACCACTCTCTACACACCATTGCCTTCTCCAGATTATATCCAAAGCTTCACTTCCCACTCAAATACACATAAACAGTGCATTTTTACCCCAACAGAATCATTGATTTCATTTGCCAATTCATTTAAAATCTAAAGACTTGAGGAGTGCAGGTTTAACAACACATTATTTTGGACAAGCTAGTTTGAATATATTTTTTAGATGGGCTAAAGTACTAAACATGTTAAATGTAAACTTATAGCCAAACAATAAGACAAATTGAGCTAGACTAGCAATTAGTAAAGTGCAAATGAGTAATCAAAGTAATGATAATATGGTATACATGTATATATAATTATAAGTTATTAATTATATAAATTAATAAAATTATAATTCGGTCCGGTTCGGTCCGGTACCGGTTCTCATTTTATGAGAACCGATCATGGCATGGTTTGGAACCGGTACGGTCCGGTTCGGGACAATTTTTTTTAGAACCGTTTCAAACCCCGTTTTCCGGTTCGGTACCATACCGGTCCGGTTCGGTACCATGCCGGTTCGGTAATTTTGCCCACCCCTAATTTCTCCTATGTTTTGTAGAGTTCTATTGTTTAGAGATCATATATCAAGAATGTCATCACAGTAAGTTTATACAGTATTTTAATTATATATTATTAAAAACTATGAGAATATATATATATATATATATGATACTTTACCATTAATATGTTTATGGTACATGATATTATGCATCATAACTGATAGATTAAAATTACATAAAATGCAAAAATTATTTCAGATCTCCACGTATTCACTTATCTCATATTTTGATAGCATTTGAGAGTCCCAAGGAAATCCTTTTTATTGCACTATTAAGAGTCCCCAAGGAATGTTTTATTATATAAAAAAAGATTGAGAAAAATTAAAAGACTTTATCTTCATCGAATCATATGCTTAAGTTCTCTAGAACACCACAAGCCTCTTAATTGGGAGCAGCTATTGTTGTGTTGAAATCTTAGGGAGTGTTTGCAACAGCTTCTGCTTTTAAAAAAGCACTTTTGGAGTGATTTGGAAAAAGTGATTATTTGTAAAAGTTGATAGTGTTTGAGAAAAAAGTGATTTTGAAAAGTAAAAGTTGGTAGTGTTTGGTAAAATAAGTGCTTTTGGTGTATAAAAAGTGGAAAAGCACTTTTGACACGAAAGCCGAGAAAAATAAAAAATTGGTAGTGTTTGGTAAATAAGTGCTTTTTTAAGCCAAAAGCTGAGAAGTACTTTTTTTAAAGTGGTTGCAAACCAGCCTTTAATCTAAGAGAAGAAAATCTGTTTTATTTGAGAAAAATCTGTTTTATTACTTTTTTCCTAACCTTAACAATTTGAAATGTCATAAGATGGCGGTCCAAGACTTCAAGTACAGAAGAAGAAAAACCATCACTAGTCACTACCATTTCTAGCTTCAAAGTCTTGGTGAAAGAGTTGAGAAAATAATTGATCAAAAAATGCATTTTTTCCTCTTCTTGCGATCATTGTTCCAAATAAAATTAACCCACAAAAAGAAAATAAAAATAAAGTGAAAAAGAAGAATTTTTCTCTTTGGCAATGATTGTGGTTCAAAAACATAACACAAGAAGAAAATAAAATAAAAAAATCAAAGAGAAATAAGTGAATTTTATTATTTTCTTTCCATTTATGAGTTGAAAATCGTAAAATTTAAAATCTATATTTTTCTAAATCTTCTTGGCAACAGTGTGTTACAACATCTTATAGCCAAAAGAGAACAAAGAAAAGGGAAGTAATTGATATTTCTGCCTGATGCATTAAATTTTTTTATCAGCTTTTTCAAAGAAGAGAAGAATTAGACATTATTCACTTCGGCCATAGTTGTGTGTTAAAAAGTTTGCTAGTGAAGAGTAAAATTAAAAGGAATGAAGTTGAGTTTTCTCGAGCTAGTTGCCAATTGCTATGACAGTTATAATACTAGTATTATGGTATTCATTCTTGTTAAAGACAAAGATGGTATTCATTCTTGTTAGTTCAGAACGAATACCAAGTTTGATTCTTCAGCCAGATTAAAGCTTCCCTAATCCCCAATAGTTCAGCTTCCAAAGGAATACATTTATCCCATCAAGGTTTAGCTCCTTCCGCTAAGAACATCACGAACTTATCTCGGACAACCCAACCTAGTCCGTAGCACACTCCACCCGTAGAAGCATTGACATTAATTTTTTCCAGGGTGCTGCCAGTAGTTTCCAGCACAGGTTGCCGAGAGCCCGTTAATTTCCTTGTTGCAGGTTCTCTGTTGCGTCTGCATCCGTCCTTCCACATAAGCTTTAGCCTTGAGCATAAGCTGAGCAGCACTTAGCCTCGCCCCCTTCCATACTCTTTTGTTTTTTTTCAGTCCACAATCACCAACAAACTCACACCAAGGTCTGCAATTCTTCCATGCTCTTAGCTTGAAATACGTGTTGCAGCCATTCTAAAAACGTGTTGGTCAACTCTCCAATCAGACACCTGACAAAAAGGTGCATCAAAGACTCTTCCGTTGTTGGTAAGCACCTTGCTTGACACTCCACCATAAGTCTCATTAGATTTTCCATTGTTGGTAAGCACCTGCCGCAAACCTGCCAAAACAGATATATTATATCATACTGAACAGATGCATAACTTATATTCATTTGGTGTTATGATTTATGACCTGGAAATAAAGTTGACATTAGTTGTTATGTAGAGTTGGTCTGTTACTCTGGTTTGCTCCAGGAGGGTGGAATAAAAAGTGTAAATAAAATCTAACAATTGTTGGTTAGTTTCCTCAAGCCAGTTGCCTATTGCCATGACTGTGATCTAATATAATAGCCCAAGAAGAGAATAAAAAGGTTAAAGAAAAAGATGGTATTCATTCTTGTTACTAAGATTGTACTATAAACAAAGGGACTTCTTAAAGATAAAATAATACTACCTCCGTTCTTAAATAAGTGCAACATGTTGAATTTTACACTATTCACATAATCTACTTTGACTACGTTTAATTAAATAATGTATTAATATATTTTCTTGAAAAAAATATTGTTAAATTTGTCTCATTGTAAATTTTCAAAATCTATTTTTTTTTACTAATAAAGAATTATATATATTAATGGTCAAAGTTGTGCCTCGACAAGTGTGAAATGTTGACTATTGCACTTATTTAAGAACGGAAGAAGTATAATATAGAGCATAAATTACTTGCTATTATCGAAAATTCGAAACTGCAAGGGTAATGCATACATATTCCTTTAATTTTTGGCTGATGTAAACCAGACGTAAAAAATACAAAGTTTCATTTTTTGGTAAAGCGAATATAAGAAAATTTGTAATGTGATAGGAAAATTTGTAATGTGAACAAGCATGACCTGCAATAGTTTAAGTTGTAACTGTTTCTTCTTTCACTCTAAAACCTTTTATCAAATAATGAAGCCCCACCATGATAAGTTGATACCTATATATGCAATGTCCTAGTAAAGTCGTGTTTACGACACTATTTCAAGAAATTACTCAAGTGTAATTTTTAAAAAAAATAGTTTGACTCCCTCTCCCTAAAATGAACAGCTACTCTATAAAAATAATGAGATGCAAGAAATACAAAATAAATGGGAATGAATATAATATGTATGTTCTGACCTGTTATGTTTGGAAATTATTTCGAAGAATTGTATTCTTGTAGCAGAAATAGCCACTGACGAATCTGACTCCACCTTCACCGAGTCTCAAGTTTAGTTCTTCAGCCAGGTCAAAGCTTCCCTAATTGCCAATAATTCAGCTTCCAAAGGAGTACATTTACCCCACCAAGGTTTAGCTCCTCCTGCTAAGAACCCTCCAAACTCGTCTTGGACAACCCAACCTAGTTCGAAGCACACTCGACCCATAGAAGCATTGAAGTTGATTTTTTCCCATCCTGATGCTGGTCGTTTCCAGCAAGGGTTGCATGAGAGACCGCTCTTTTCCTTGCTGCAGGTTGTTTGTTGCGCCTGCATCCATCCTTCCACATAAGCTTTAGCCTTGAACATAAGCTGAGCAGCACTTAGCCTTGCCCCCTTCCATACTCTCTGGTTTCTTTCAGTCCACAATTCCCAGCAACCCCACACCAAGGTCTGCAACTCTTCCATCTTCTTAGCTTGAAATACTTGTTGCAGCCACTCTAAAAAGGTGTTGGCCAACTCTCCAATTAGACTCCAACCCACCGATTGCCAAGCTTCTCCAGCCATCGGACACCGGACGAAAGGTGCATCACTGATTCTTCTCGCCTTCCACACAGATCACACCTTGCTTGACAGTCCACCATACGTCTCAGATTTTCCATTGTTGGTTAGCACCCACGCAAACCTGCCAAAACAGAGATTTGATATCATACTTAACACATGCATCACTTATATGCATTTGGTGTTATGATTTATGAACTGAAAATACAGTTGAAAGTAGTTGTTATGTGTTGTTGGTCTGGTACCCTGGCTTGCTTTGCTCTAGGAGGGTGGAATAAAAAAGTGAAAAAACAGAATCTAACGATTGTTGGTTATTGCCATGACTGTGATCTAATATAATAATAGCCCAAGAAGAGAATAAAATGGTTAAAGAAAAAGATGGTATTCATTCTTGTTACTAAGATTGTATCATAAGCATAGGGACTTCTCAAAACTATATTAATATAATTTAGAGCATAAATTACTTACTATTATAGTATTATCGAAACTGAAAGGGTAATTCATAAACGTTCCCCTAATTTTTGGCCCATGTAAACCATATACGTAGAAAATACATAGTTTAATTTTTGGTAAAGCAGAATATAAGAAAATTTGTAACGTGAACCAACATGACCTGCAACAATTTAAGCTGTAATTGTTTCTTCTTTCAATTTACAACCTTTTATCAAATAATGAAGCCCCAAGATGATACCTAGAAATACAATGTCTTAGTAAAGTCGTGTTTATATGACCACCCTCATTTCATCATTTTCATTTACCCCAGTGCCGCAAAGGCTCTCACCTATGGTGGGGTAAGGGGGGTCGGATGTACGCAGTCTTACCCCTGTACTAAGGCAGGGAGAGACTGTTTCCGAATGACCCATAGTGAAAATTGGGTCCATGACTGCTGCTTCATAACAAAGAAGCGCACACAGTTTAGTGAGCCATTTTGCTTTATTACATCATATTCTCAGGCCAAAAAATAATGAATCTTTGGCTCCATTGCAAATGATGGAAAAAGTTTATATGACCACCCTATTTTAAGAAATTACTCCACTGTAATTTTATTTTCGAAAAAATAGTTTGACATATTTCCTCTCTAAAAATGATCATATTTTAAAAATGTGTATTCCAAAAAGGGGATATATTTATAATTACTGCATTATTTTGAGTAAAAGTTTACTCCAAGTTGTTTGAGATAATTACTCAAAACACTTGTGAACATTGATAATTTTGATATATGAAAAGCTACTCTATAAAAAAAATGAGTGGCAAGAAATATATAAAATAAATGGGAATGCATAAAAGATGTATGTCCTTGCCCATGAGGACTAACTTAAATGGGGTTCTTCAAATTATAATTATATTGGCAGTAATACCAGGTTAATCCTGAAGCACATTTGAAGCAAAAGTTGCAAAAGGGTGTATGGTTCTTCTCTGCATCAATTGTTTACATAATAGCCTGCCACCCCCTCTCTCTCTCTCTGCTACTACTGTGTGTCCTTTTCTTCCTCATTAAGTTAAGCCTCTGCATCACAACTGTCAATCTTTGATGTATAGGAGCTTCTGAACTTAGCTTGTGCCTTATCAGTCCTCTTTCCTGAAGATCCATTATAAGTTGTTCACCCTTCCCCTGATCATTATCCGAATGAACTGCATTAACAAGAACAACATATGTGGTAATGTTAGGCCAAACACCTCTTTGCTTCATCTCCTTGTACAAATCAAATGCGCAATCCAATCCGCAATTAACACAAAGGCCCGTGATTAGTACATTATAAACAACAACATCAGGCTGCACCCCGTGAACTTCCATTGCATTTTTCAAACTCAAAGCCTCAGAAACTTTAGATTCTTTGCAAAACCCATGGATTACTGTTGTAAACGTTGCAATGGTTGGAACGAGTTGGACTCTTAGCATACAATCAAGAACAAGCATTGCTTCCTCCGTCTTCCCACGGCGCACAAGACCTCTAACAATAGCACTGTCAGCAATATCACGGGACCTGATGCCGAGAGATTCCATTTCATCCTTAAACTGGAATGCTCGTTGTACATCTCCCACCCTACACATACCACTAACCACACTGACGTACTGTCTATCAGTCGGCCTGAAACCATTTTTCAGCATTTCATGAAAGACGGCACGAGAAGTTTGGAAATCAGACATTCTTCTTAGTCCTTTAAGTATTGATTCGTAAGTATCAGCATCTGGTTGAAAACCGCCCGCTAAGTTCATAATAGTCACCACATCAAATGCTTTCTGCATCTCCCCCCTCTCACTATATTTCGCGATTATCATGTTGAATGAAGCTTTATCTATTACCGCTCCTTCCATTATCATTTTGTTTACAAACTTAACCCCAACATCCAACATACGTGACTCACAAAGTGCAAAGATCAAAGCTTTTCTGGTTGACATATCTGGGGTGAGGCCGTTTCTTGAAATTGAACAGTATAATCCAAAGCACTCTGATATATTTTGCAATTTTGCATAACCGTGTAATAAGCTATTATATGTATCAATATTGGGAGATAAAAAATTGACCTTCATGATTGAGAAAAATCTATTTGCTTGATCCATTCGACCAATCATTGAGTAACCATCTATCATTGTGTTTAGCACCATAGCATCTGGTCTCAGCCCTTGCTTAATCATCTCATCAAAGAAACAAGAGGCAACCTTTGGTAAACCCATCTTAAAAAGCCCATCTATTACACTTGTATACATCAACCGGTTAGAAGGCAATGTTCCTTTTTCCAATGCTTTCGGCAATAAAATAATTGCAGAAGTTACTTTACCATTTCTACACAATCCGGCTACGATATTAGCATATGTATAGCCATCAGGTATCACATGGTTATGCACCATATCATTAAAAATTACCAATGCCATAGGGAGATATCCTAATCTACATGCCTCAGCTAACAATGTATTGTATATACTTACATCAAGGACAGAATGAGAAGATTGACATAGTCCATCAAACAACTTGACTGCCGCGGTAAAGTTTCCTCCTTTGCATAATCCCTTTAATACCCCTTTATACGTGTAAAGGGTAGGCTGGTTTCCCAATTTGGCCATTTCATCAATCAATGATAAAAGTTTGAAGTTATCTCCTATATTTGCATAGCCGGAAATCAGAGAATCAAAACAAGCAGAACCGGGTACAAGATCAATTCTTAACATGTGACGCATAAAATCCTCTGCATCCTGTACCTTTCCGCATCTGCAAAGACAAGAAATGAGTGTATTGTATAGAGACAGGTCAGCATCATGGCCATTTTCCAGCATCACTTGGAAGAGTTTCATAGTTTGGAAGATACTGTTCTGCTTGCAGAAGTTGTAAAGTAAGTTACGGTGCATGTAGTCATACGGAAAAGCTCCAATTTTGTACATTTTACACATCATCTCTTTTGCCTGCTTTATCCTTCTAGCTCTGAGAAGCCCATTTACAAGAACTGAGTATGCAATAACATCGGGGCATATGCCACTCCCAACCATTTCATTGAAAAGTTTTAGGCTTTCTTCAATCATCCCCCTTTTGCATAGCCCTTGAATTAGAATTGTGTAGGATACATGATTGAGAGCTATGTTATCCTTCCTCATCCTCTTAAATATATATCTTGCAGAATCAATCTTTCCACATCTGCAAAACCCATTCAAGATAGACCCGTAGCTAAACTCATTGGGATGTAATCCCCTTGCTTCAATTTCCTCCAGAAGTCCAGAAGCTTCTTCAAACATGCCCACCCGACAGTGCCCGTCAATCAAAGCATTGAAAGTGACAAGGTTTGGCAACATATTCAGACTCTTCATCTCATGAAAAACCTTCATCGCCACTCCAATCTTTCCCTCTTTCATGAATCCATTGATCAGGGTGTTATACGTGATTTCATTTGGAATTACAGATCTCTTGCTCACATTTTTCAAAAGCAAATACCCTTTTGCACTCCTATCGTTCTTACATAAATCATCTATAAGCATGTTATATGTACAAATATCAGCTTCAAGACCTTTACAAGCCATACGATCAATCAGCTCATATGCTGAATTATATCTTCCCTTCTTGCAAAGCCAATTTAGCAAAGTATTGTAAGTAACTACATCAGGAATGTATCCACTCTCCTCCATCATATTAAGCAATTGATTTGCTCTCTTAAGCTTTCCAGTTGAGCACAGGACATGCAAGAGTATGTTAAATGTCTTCAGATTGGGGCATATACATTTTGCAAGCATTTCCTTGAAGAATGACCAAACGGACTCGGTAGTATCTTGGAACCTGGCAATCGCTGCAAGAATCATGTTACAAGTGTGAACCGACGGAGTTATTCCATGACAACCAATCCAGTAGAATGCCTCTAAAGCATCCTTAACCATTCCTTCTCTCACATAAACCCTTATTAAAACATCATACACTGCAACATTTGAATTCCAGAGGCAATAAGTATCCATAAGGGCACCAAGAACAGATTTTGACCCAATACCCATTTCTGATAAATACCTAAAAATTGACTTAGCAGAATCATACATCCGTGCTCTTATTAGTATGTGGGCAGTGATACAGTGCATGTGAATAATGTGGTCAATCTCTAAACCTGGTTGTTTTATAAACCATTTCAAGAATTTCAAAGTTAGTCTCCCATGAACTGGCCTTAGTGAAGCCATCTTATAACGCATCTTGTTTAATGATTCCCAGCGGTCCACAGTCAGGATTGTGTATATGCTCTTGTCAATACCTTCGTCTGCTTTGGCAAAGAACAAATCCTTATTAGCTCATGTACACATGCATATCTCTGTTCACCTACTACTAGAAAGAATGAGAAACTTTACGAATTTATGAGAAAGAACAGAGATATATTTAGAGAATGTACGTACTAGCTGCTTGGTTTTTTATCGATGACATCATAGTATTAGTTTTGGTGAGAGTCTCTGGGGCCTTGAAAAACCCCTCAACTGAAAAAGCTTCAATTCTTGAACTTTGTGGGGAGGAAAGGAATACTTTTTTGGTGGCCAAGGGCCCACGGCTATGGACTATGGAGCTTCTCATGTTCCTCCTCCTTGTCGTCGTTAGAGTGAGGTTACGTCACTCCTTGAGATTACCCAATACTATAGAATTCCATACTTCTCCTAATCTTTATATATATAAAAACAGGATCGTCTGGTGCAACCTGTCTCAGCCTAGGATTACATTTGACACGTGGCAGAAACTGATTAGGTAATAAAAATGCCAGCAGTAAATCTCATGTCAAGAATAACTTTCACGACGTTTGCCACAATAAAAATCAAACACGAGAAGTTCTCTGATCTCTACACATGGCAACAATCTGTGTCTCCAGCGGTTTCTATGCAGTTCCAATTTAGCAGTTGTAGAAAGAACTCGTGAAAAGTAGAATGTATATTATTATTGTTGTTCTGTGTAATACAAGGAGAAGACTACATAATATATAGCCAGAGAAGAAAGTAAAATAAGGAAGGAAATCAAGGAATCCTTCTAATTAAGGTTCTCTAATAAAGAAAAGATATATGGGGATATTTAGAGATTCTGAGATCTCCAGGATATCTTCCCATAACTCCTCAATCAGGTGAATAATTAGGATAATCTCTGCAATAATCTACACTCCCCCTCAAGCTGGGTGATGGATATCATCCATGCACAGCTTGCTAGATAAGTCTTCAAACTGAATTCTGGGAAGTGCCTTGGTGAGTATATCAGCTATTTGTTGCCTGGTTGGAACATAGATTAGCTGGATATCCTTAGTTGCAATCTTCTCAGACAAAAATCTTCTATCTATCTCAATGTGTTTGGTCCTGTCATGATGGACAGGATTCTTAGCAATACTGATAGCAGATTGATTATCACATGAAATCTGGATGGAACTTTCAAATGGAAGTTTGAGCTCATTCATCAATCTTCTTAACCATAACCCTTCACAAATTCCTTGTGCTAAAGCCCTGAGCTCAGATTCTGCACTACTTCTAGAAACTACAGATTGTTTTTTGCTCCTCCAGGTGACTAAGTTACCCCATACATAAGTACAGTAACCAGTAGTTGACCTTCTGTCTAGGAGGCTACCAGCCCAGTCAGCATCAGTAAATACTTCAATCTTTCTAGTCCCCTGTTTCTGAAACAACAATCCTTTTCCAGGAGTCATTTTCAGGTACTTCAGAATTCTGTAGACTGCAGTTAAGTGTTCCTCAGTTGGGTCATTCATGAATTGACTTACCACACTTACTGAGAAAGCAATGTCTGGCCGTGTATGAGATAGATAGATTAGCTTTCCCACCAGCCTTTGATATCTACCCTTATCAACTGGTGGACTTTCAATCTCACTGCCTAACTTCTTCGATATATCCATAGGAGTGTCTAGAGGTTTGCACCCAAGCATTCCAGTTTCACTTAGCAAGTCTAGGACATATTTCCTTTGTGAAATGAAAATGCCCTTCTTAGATCTTGCCACTTCCATTCCCAAGAAGTACTTCAACTCGCCTAGCTCCTTGATTTCAAATTCTCTTGCTAGATGGGCCTTCAATCTGTCCAATTCAGCTTTAAAGTCCCCGGTCATGATAATATCATCGACATATACTATAAGAATAGCTATTTTACCAGAGTCTGCCCTCTTTATAAATAATGTATGGTCTGCTTGACATTGCACGAACCCTTGTTTAATTACTGATCTTGTGAATCTATCAAACCATGCTCTAGGAGACTGCTTTAGTCCATACAAGGACTTTTTCAGTCTACAAACTTGGCCAGATTTCACCAAGTCTTCTAACCCTGGTGGTACATCCATGAATACTTCCTCTTCTAGATCTCCATTAAGAAAAGCATTCTTAACATCTAGTTGATGTAATGGCCAGTCTAGGTTCACTGCGAGTGAAAGCAATACTCTAATGGTGTTCAACTTTGCCACTGGTGCAAATGTTTCTGAATAATCGATGCCATAAGTTTGGGTGAACCCCTTAGCAACCAGTCTTGCCTTAAGTCTCTCAATCTTGCCATCAGCCTGATATTTCACTGTAAATACCCACTTGCAGCCAACAGTCCTCTTCCCTGCTGGCAAATCTGTAAGCACCCAAGTTCCATTCTTCTTCAACGCTGCCAGTTCATCATGGACAGCCTTCCTCCACCCTGGATGTTCAAGGGCTTCCTTGATGTTGCTAGGAACCTGAATACTATCAATCTTTGAAATAAAGGTTTGATAGTTTGCTGATAATTTCTTATAACAAAGAAAATTATAGATAGGATGCTTGGTACACTCCCTTACTCCCTTTCTGATAGCAATAGGCAGGTCCTCTTCCTCCTCATCTCCTTCTATAGCCTCAACCTCTTTGTCATCAGGATTTAGATTTGAGTCAGATGATTGGGTGGTGCTAGTTGGAGTGATGTGCTCATCTTCTGGAACTTTGGTTCTAGGTTTCCTCTTGTAGGTATTTTTGTAGAATGTGGAATTTTGATTCAGTGTAAGGTTTTGAGGGGATGAAGGTGGTGGCTGAAGTGGTGAGGTTAATGGAGAGACTGTATTGTCTAGAGGGATTGATTCAGGCTTGTCTGGGATTATGGGTTCAATGTGGTTAAAGTCAGATTCTTGGAGGTCTGGAATAGTGTCTGAAATAGGGTTCAAAGACTGGATTTCATTGTGATTCTCCCCCTGAGATTCAGTTTTGACATAGAAAGGCTGATTTTCAAAAAAGGTTACATCCATTGTGATGTAGACCTTTTTTGTGGTAGGAGAATAACATTTATATCCTTTCTGGTTGGCACCATACCCTATGAACACACAAGGTAAGGATTTGGGATCCAGTTTTGACCTAAGTGGAGAATGATTGCGAACAAATGCTTTGCAACCAAAGACCTTTGGTGGGAGATTGGTAAGAGGGATGTGAGGGTGTATATTAGATAGGATTTGGTATGGAGTTTTAAACTGATGAATTTTGGAGGGCATCCTATTTATTAGATAAGCTGCAGTTAGGACAGCCTCTCCCCAGTAATGTTTAGGAGTGTGAGTGGTGAACATAAGGGCTCGAGCAACTTCCAGTAAGTGTCTATTCTTCCTTTCTGCTACCCCATTCTGTTGTGGGGTGTCAACACAGGAGCTAATGTGTATAATCCCCCTTTTTGACAGAAACTCTCCTAAGTTGGATGAGAAATATTCTTTGGCATTATCAGTTTTAAGAACTTGAATCTTGGTTTGAAACTGAGTTTTGATCATAGAATAGAATCTTTGAAAGATACTATTGACTTCTGACTTTTCTTTCATGAGGAAGACCCAGGTTAAGCGTGTATGATCATCAATAAACAGAACAAACCACTTTGAACCAGAGAGATTTTTTACCTTGGATGGCCCCCAAACATCACTGTGGATGAGAGAAAATGTTTTTGATGGTTTGTAAGGTAGACTGGGATAATGACTTCTTGTATGTTTAGCAAGTTGACAAAATTCACAATCAAACATAGAACTTTTATTGATGAATAATGAAGGAAATAATTTTTTCAAGTACAAGACATTAGGATGACCAAGACGATAATGCCATAGCTGAATTTGATCATCAAATTGACTTCTACTAAGACTCCCTAAGAATTTATGGTTGAATTGACTCTCACTGGAAGTTGTCTTGTTGGTAGAATTTGGTAAATGTGGTGAATGTTCCAGAAGATAGAGTCCACCACTTTGCTTAGCACTGCCAATCATCCTCCCCGAATCCAAATCCTGAAATTCACACAATTGGGAAGAGAATTTAGTTAGGCAATGGGAATCATTGTTCAGTTTACTGACTGATAAGAGGTTAAACTTTAAATCTGGAACATATAACACATTTTTAAGCACTATCATATCAGAAATTTTGACTCTTCCAATCCCTTTTATTGCTGAAGTAGTTCCATCAGCAATCTTCACAGTCACATTATTCTTCATAGGGATCAAATCAGCAAAAAACTTACTGTCTCCAGTCATATGGTCTGATGCCCCTGAATCAACAATCCAATGGGGCTGACTTTGAGCAACTAGGGTTGTTAAGGCATTACCTGTCTGGGCAGTAAAGCTAGTTGGTGGTGTAGACCCTTTGTTCTGATTTATTAGGTGTTGAAGAACCTCAATCTGCTCATTGGTAAATGCAGCAGAGTTAGAAGTGCCCATATCTTCTTTATCTCCAGTAGCTACATAGGCTCCTTTCCCTTTGCCTGGTTTGAAATCTTTGGGTTTACCATGCAGAATCCAGCATGTTTCTTTAGTATGGCCTGGTTTCTTACAGTGATCACACCATGGCCTCCCCTTTTTCTTGTTGTCATTCTGTCTGGAAGAAGTATATAAGGCTGAACCTTCAATGCTTGGTTGTTGGCCTTGAGATTTCAGGCCCATCATTACCTTCTTTCTGCTTTCTTCTCTTCTGACTTCTGAGAAAGCTTCTCTAAGGGTGAATTTCTTTCCCATTATTCTCCCCCTAACCTCATCTAGACTCTTGTCCAAGCCTGACAGGAATTTGAAGACTCTCTTCCTCTCACAGATTTCCTGATATAACTTCTTATCCTTAGAACATGACCAGCTATATGTCTCAAACACATCAAGGTGCTGCCAGAGTCTCATAAGGTTGTTAAAGTATTGAGTTACACTCAATTCTCCCTGCTGAAGGTTATATATCATTGATTCAACCTCAAATAATTCAGAAGTGTTATCTGAGGTTGAGTAGGTTTCTTTCACAGCCTCCCAAATCTCTTGAGCTGTTTTGTAGAGTAGAAAATTTTCCCCTATACTGGTTGTCATGGAATTGATGAGCCATGACATCACAATATAGTTCTCCTTTTTCCACTTCTTGTAGCCTGGATCTCTTTGATCCGGAGCAGGTGCATCACCTGTCAAATAGTCCTCCTTGTCTTTTCCACACACGTACATCATAACGGACTGGGACCATTGTAGATAATTACTACCATTGAGTTTATGGCAAGTAATAATCGAATCTGATTGATTAGGGATGGTGACTGTGCTTCCATTGATATTCTGGTTGCTGCCATCTCTAGTTGGGACAGCCTCTGAATGTTCAGAGGTGTCTGAGATAGATCCATCTCTCTCGGTGGTCATCCCATATGATCCAAACTTAA